TCAAACCCAGCCCTGGCCAAAAATAAATACATAAATAAAATTAAAAAAAAAAAAAAGAAATAGTATGTGATACACATTATAAGGTGTTCACAGTTACATCTCGTTGGGTTATATCATTAAAGAAACGTCTAGTTAAGTATAAATTGGTATTAAAAAATTTATTAAATAAGCAAAAATTAAATAAAAAGTGTTTTTCTTTACTTGTGAAGTTCATTTTGACCTGGGTAGTGGATGTTGTGCACAAAAAGACAAATTATTGATCAGAGAACCTCTGTGAGCTTTTGCAGCCACCTTCTGGAAGGCTGCTGGGAAAGGTTGCCTCTTATGTTTTTGATGCTGTTTTACTTAGAGACAAATATCTAGTCCTCTTTCTCTAACCGCTGGCTTTCCTCAGCATTCTAGATTATCCTCGCATTCTTTAAAGATACTTTTCAAGTACATCCTTGAGACACCTCTGCCCTGTTTTCAGATGTTAGTTCACTGCCCAAATATCTTGTTATGGCCCCCTCTGTGCACATGACCGGCTTATGTCGAATGCTTGGAAGAGCATTGCTTTGTGCTTCTAGATGGATTACACTCCCATAACTAATGATCAGTAACTATTTAGTGCTGCTTAATGGTTGTAAGGGCCTGCAGGTGACAGAGGTATGCATTAGTAGGGCCAAGTGTCCCAGCTGTGCAGTGAGAGTCAACCTTATTTCATGGAAGTTTAATTTATTGTAGCATTTAATGACACATCAAGGCCATGATCTGACAGCCTCCCATGCTGACATCCTGATTTTAGAAGCAGTGCATCATTGCACAGTGATCTACGAAGGAGCATGATTCATTAACTGTGTTTAATTTTGAATTTCCAGGGAAAGCTTAGGGGCAGGATTTTGCTGTGCAGGCTTCTAAATAGTTTTAGATTCTTTCTATTAAGTTTTAAAATACAAAACAAAATGATTGCTACATTCCCTTCCAATTCTCCAGTTGCCTGTTTTTTGTGTTTGTTTTTGTTTTTTTCCTGGCAGGACAGTGGCTAATTTGCCAAGCAGGATAAACTTAGTCGTACATTCATTTATTCTTGGGTTTATATACTTATTTTGTATCATCTATCTGGTATATTTTACATGAGATTCATTCTATGTCACAGATACAGAAGAAATAGTAAAATGGTTTTTCTGTTTGGGGAGCTCCTAGTAACTAAATATGCCACCAAATGTTAAATGAAACAAATGATGTGTGCTGAATTCCTTTCCTTTGATCCCTTTTTGGGTGTTGCTTTTTTCCCTATGTTTTGATGATGTTCGTGGGTGAAAGGGTTTTCCACTTAGTAAAGTTATCTTCCACCATGAGCACCGGGAGTGCTGTTAAAGAGAGCTTTGTGGAAATGCTTACCATCACTGGCTGGGCCAGTTGTGCTGTGCTGTTGCACCATGGTAGCTGGGCTGGAAAACACAACACCTGACCTGAGGTGAGGACGCAAATTAGCATCTGTTCTTGGCACCTAAATTTCCTGATATTGGGGAATGCTCTTGGAAAATTTAGAAAACTATTCAGACATCTTAATACACTTCTATCTTTCTACTTGTCTTGGATGTTGAAAGAAGCAAATAGGTCAGGCTACATCAGGATGTCATGGTTTGAAGTCAGGTGTGGTCCACCCACAGTGATGATGATTAGCAAAGCTGAGGCCAGTTTCTCCTTGGCAGTGTTAGAGCAAAGAGCTGCCTTGCTCGTGTCACTGAACTTACTGAGAAAGATGGCTACCATGCAGATACACGACATATGCTTAAAACCATTGCAGACTTGCCTGCTAACCTTTTACTGTGTCTCTTTTGATGTCTTAAAATGCAATTTAAGACACGAAAATAGAACAACTGTATTCTGAAGAATAGGAATCGTGTTGTCTAGGAGATGACACCAAAGAACTTCTCAGCAGAACTTTCTTTTCTCTCTTTCACTGAGATTTTCTGTATGAAGCATCTGAAACTGTAATTATAATGAGATTGTCATTCTCCACGCATGCTATTGCCCACCCTGAGCACCTCGCCTCAGCGTCTGACTTTCTCCCCAGGCTGCCCTTAGCGTATTCTGCACTTCCCTGGGATGGAGTTGCCAGTGAAATGCACAAGATTCCACAATCTCAGAGTTTTTGTTCTGTAGTTAGCCCCTAGTTCTGCAAATTACTTTTTGCAGGAGGATGTGATTTGGTTTTGTCATGAGGGTCAGAGAACCTCAGAGGCTTGCAGATTTGGAGCATAAATCCTGCAGAAGTTGTCCATCAAACTTTGTTCCTCTCACCCACTCCCCAAATCGGACCCTTTTAGTATCATGTTAGACATCACAAATCCTATCAGAAATGATGATGGGGCAGTTCTGCCCCTTCATCTTATATTAACTGACAGCTTCCTAACTTGCTAGTTGGAGCTTGTGTGTGGAGCTTGGTACTTGTGTGTTTGGAGCTTGTGTGTGGAGCTTGGTCTGGTGTGAAGCTTGGTCTGGTGTGGAGCTTGTGTACTTGTGTGTTTCTGTTTAATGTTGGCTGTGGGCAATTGAAAAACAGTCTCTTGGGTGTTGCTCCCTAAGCTTTGGTTCTTGAGAGAATGCATGGATGTGATTATCAAGAGTTAATTTTAGATAACTGAAAACATTCTCAACATCCTATTAAAATTTTCACTGTGCTCACTTACAATTGGAGAGACTCAGGGGAGTGTCTGTTTGGGCTCCTATAACAGAACACTATAGACTGAGTAGCTTATTAGCAACAGAAGTTTATTTCTCCCAGATCTGGAGGCAGGGAAGTCCAAGACCAAGACACTAGCAGCTTTAGTGTCTGGTGAGGTCCTGCTCTTCTGGTTCATAGGTGTCACCTTCTAGCTGCATCCTCACATAATGGAAAGGGCAAACCAGCTCCCCTCTTTGACAAGGGCACTAATCTCATTCATGAGAGCTCCACCCTCATGGCCTAATCACCTCCTAAGGCCCCACCTTGGGGGTTAGGGTTGCACCATACTAATTTTGCCTGGCACAAACATTCAGACTGTTGCATAGTAAAAACTTAAGAGCAGAAGAGCAGTAGAACTGTGGCCTTTAAGAGTTAGCTCTCCTTACTAATGCAGATTTACTGCCTGAAATAGAAGTTTTATATTTCTGCTGTGTGTTGCTTTACTGTCCGTTATCGATTCATACCAGGGAAACTCACATCACACCTTCATGGCCCCCTCTGGTGTGTGTTTTTCTCTTTGTAAATTCACATTTATTTCTGGGATGTTAGTGGCTATCACACCAGACATAGCTACAACTAGATTGCTTTTGTTAAATTCAGGAGGAAAAGATAATGATTAAATTAGCATAGATCGTTATGTTGACAATCTTATAAATAGGCAGTAGTAAAAAAATTGATTAAACGCCATGTTCTAAATTTTAAACTGTTACATTTATCTATTTATAAAAAGAAACATTTTAGAGGAAGAAGTTCTAGTGTTCTGTATCACTGGAGGATGACTAAAGTTAACAATAATATATAATTTCAAATTGCTAAGAGAAGGGTATTGAATAATTTAAATACTAAGAAATGATAAATGTTTGAGATAATAGATATACTAATAACTCTGATCTGATCACCATACATTACACATGTTGAAACGTTACTAGGCATGCCATGAATATATACATACATATTATTGTACATATAATTAATTGTGATTTGTCAGTTAAAAACTTAAGTTTAATTTGAAAAGAAATATATAGAAGAAAACTAAAATTGCTTGTAATCTTTTTATAGACAGATTATGCTATTTTATTTATTTTTACAGCATCTTAAATGTACATGTGTGTAATTATACACAAATACAGATGCTAATTTAAATGCCTACTTTTAAAATGAAATTATAATGTATAGTTTTGCATCTTTTGTTTTTAAACTTTATATTGTATCACCACAAATTTAGTGTAATAGTTTCTACCTTTTTTTTTTTTTTCTGAAACAGAGCCCCTCTATGTTGTGCTTGGTAGAGTGCTGTGGCATCGCAGCTCACAGCAACTTCAGACTCTTGGGCTTAAGCAATTCTCTTCCCTCAGACTCCCAAGTAGCTGGGACTACAGGCATCCGCCACAATGCCTGTCTATTTTTTTGGTTGCAGTTGTCATTGTTGTTTAGCTGGCCCGGGCAGGGTTCAAACCCACCAACCCCGGTGTATGTGGCCGGTGCTGTAACCACTGTGCTACAGGCACCTAGTCAGTAGTTCCTACATTTTTCCATTGGGAACAATCAGTGTCTTAAATGTTAATTCATAAAATCTACCTAAAATTCAATGTCTTATGGATTTTGATAGTGATTACAATACTTCCTCAAAATATGAACCAATTTTTGTCATTTATAAAATTCTCATTTTACTCAAACTCCAGTAAATTTATTTTATAAAGAAAACTATTTTCCTATTTAATGAGAGAACAACATTGTATTGTTAGTTTTTATTTCTTACTGAGGATAAACTTCTATATGAAAATGTTCTTTTACATTTTTAGAAATTAATTTTATAAGATTAAAGGGGCAAACTATTAGTTTGTTAAAATGTGAAAAACATTTGAGATTATCTAACATCTTAGTGATATCTCTAAAGCATCAGATTTTAAGGGAAGTTTTGCCCAGGTATAAAGGGAAAAAATAATCGATTTGGGTATGAGGCAAAGTTTGATGATTTTGCAACAAATGTATGAAATTTTAAAAATTGCTCATTGAATTCGGAACACATCTAACAGGCTGATGCGTGACATTTAGATTATAAGACATTCTTTTTAAGAACTGAGAAATCAATGTATGGAAGATTTAAAGACGATTATTTTCAGTGTAAGAATTTAGAAACGTTCAAATTTGTTGTCATGGGAGGTGAAATGAACCATTTTGCTTGAAAGCAGCTCATCTGTGAATATAAAAAAGCAAAGCCCTGTACAGAAAGCCCAGTAGCTAATACTGATCCTTCCCATGTTTCTTATCTCTGCTTTTTTCTCTTTAGGACATCCAGGCGGAAATCGATGCCCATAATGACATATTTAAAAGCATTGATGGAAACAGACAAAAGATGGTGAAAGCTTTGGGAAATTCTGAAGAGGCAACTATGCTTCAACATCGACTGGATGACATGAACCAGAGATGGAACGACTTAAAGGCCAAGTCTGCCAGCATCAGGTCAGCACCATCGATATCAAAGTAAAAATAATGGAGTGGGGGTTCTGTGATTTTTATGTATCAGAAAGAGGACACCCTTACTACCAATGCTACTTACTCAGAAATAGTTTCAGATTTAAATGCAAAGACTGTTTTCTTGAAATTTCTAATTTCAGCTCCATTTGTGTCCAGTGCTCTCTGCCAACTGTTCTAACTACTCACACATGCTCCTATCATACTTTAAACCTAATACTACTACTATTACTATTACCAGCACCTGCTAATTACTGTTTACCATGACCCAGCATTGTATTAAGACTTTTACAGACGTTATTTCATGCTAAAAAATCCTAGTAAGGTGGACGGTAAAATCCTGTCTTATATGAGGAAACAGAGGTTTAAGGAACATAAGGCACTTGCCAAGTTTTTGGACTAACACGCGCCAAAATCAGGATTTGCATCTAGAGCTTGTCAAGTTTTGGCAACGAGTGTATTATGCTTCATCATGCTGCGTGTACATCGAATTCGAAGATGTATTTATAGAAATTAAATATCTTGTAGGGACATCAAAACAGAAAACTGATGATTCATGCCTGCATTGGGAGAGAGTAAAATTAAATAGGGAGGAACCTTTGGACTAAAATTCTGACTAGGAAAAGACCTTGAACAAATTACCCAGAGCGACAGAAGGATCATTGTTATTGGTGGCCAAGAATATTTTAAGATTGTATTTAATAGATAATGGGCAGTTATCCAGATGTATATGAACTGTTACATATAAGTTTAGGGAATGCCGACTGAAGAAAATGTTACTGAGAAACATCCAAAAGAGGAATGTTGATAGAAAGTCCTAGATCAGGTTTTTCTTTACTTTTTACCATGTTTCATGTGTACAATCTCAAAACTGTGTGGTATTGAATTTGTCTCTTTGCTTTTACCATTTACTCTACAATCTTGGGTAAATTAGTCCCTCTGAACCTTAGTTTTCTTATTTATAAAATTGGAATATAAATATTTAACCCTTATGATCATTGTGAAGGCAATTTGGTAGTTGGTTAATCTATGTGAAAATTGTTTGAAGAAGCATCCAGTTTCTGCATTGTTTTATCATTATATTTTTAATACCCATAAGTGGTATAGTGGATCTTTTTGAACTGGTTTTGGCATTTCATAGACTTCATGAAGAGCAGAAGTCTTTGTTGATTATTTATTGTGAATGAATTTTTTTAGAAACTGGCTTCTTTTTTTTTTTTAATATATATTTTATTCTTAAAGATGTTTGTTTATTTTATTTCTCTGGCCGGGGCTGGGTTTGAACCTGCCGGCTCTGGCATATGGGGCCAGTGCCCTACTCCTTGAGCCATAGGCATTGCCCTAGAAACTAGCTTCTAATAAGAAGCTTATTTGACCAAGCTTAGTTGTCCACACCTGTAATCCCTGTGAGTCAAGAGGCAAGAGGGTGGCTTGAGTTTAGGAGTTCAGTGTTGCAGTAAGCTATGATCATTGAGTGACAGAGGGACAGACCCTGTCTCTAAAAAATAAAAATAAAAAATGTCCTGAAAGGTTTTTATTCTGGTGGAGCTCATGGAGGGGAATTCGCGATTCCTCTTACATGTACGGAGGGGAGTGACCTAGATGTGCCTCTGTGTAAAGGTCTCATTAGAAATTATGTCGGTATCAGCCAATCGCTTGTTTTAAAAGACATGAAAATTAGAGCGTGTGGTGCAGTGAGATAATATACTTGTTTAAGAATTGCGTTTTCAACTGTATAGATCCTACTGGCTTGCAACTTTCTGTTCTGCATACGTGTAAACAAATAAAAATATTAAAAATGTTAACACAGTAAAAAGCATCCACTGAGGAGCCAGCGGAACCAACATTTTAGGCTAATGAGGTAAAAGTCACAGGGTAACTCGTTTTCTAGGCTGAATTCATGAACTTAACTGTCAGGCCCTATAGAAGTAGAACTGAGTCCACTCACTCTAGTTATGTTGAGGACATCAGCTGTGAAGGGAAGAGGAGAGAAGACCCGATTGCTGTAGCCGTAGTATGACCCATGACAGTGTCATGAGTTTGTACCAGCCGCAGGGGCTAGAACGGTATCCGGAGTGACCTGCCTGTGCCTTCACACACATCAGATATGTTTAACTAGAAGTGAATGATCTGTCCTTTCTCTTTGTCCTCAAAAACATGGTAAATAAATTACACTATTGTATTCATTATTAGTTGGATATTTATTTTAAAAAATGGTTTATTATTTCTCAGCAATGGGCCTTCATCTTGGAAGCATAGCTCAGACAGGAGTGGCCCAGGATAGGGTTTGGTAGAGGTACAGCTGGGGCTGGATTGACTGTTTTCAAACACTGGCCTTGCCACTTAGTAGTTGGGCCACCCATATGTGCCTCTGTTTCCTCGTATGTAAAATTGGGACAGTAAGAATAACTTCCTTACTAGGTTACGTGAACATCTTGTTTATTTATCCTCTATAAAGTGCCTAAAACAGTGATGCATGGTGAGTACTTAATAATTTTTAGCTACTACTATTGTCATTGATTATCACCTCATTTGGCATTAGTCAGTTTAAATGACATAGATAGTCTCTCTACCCTATCTTTTTCTATCTTAGTCAGTAATGTTGGGGGTTTCTGAGAATGTCCTCAATAAATAGCATCTCCCTTTTCTGCTGGATTCTGAACAAGTACAAAACAGAAGTGTGTTCAACAGGCATACATCATGTGGCCAAAAGAGAATTCACATGCCGTGTTGATTACTGACAGAGGCCAGGCTGGAAGAGATAACTTAGACTAGAGGAGACTGGGCTAGTAACCCAGCCCCAGAATGAAGCAGAATTGCCAGTAGTCACTGGTTGAGATGGCCTCCTAAGTGGGAAACCCCTATATTGAAGGGAAGAAAAGAACTCAGTCTCTGGGGTCTGTGCTCAAGAGGAGAGGGTGGGCTGAGCTAAGCACATCCAAGTTATTCGCCCTGAATTTGCCAATCAGATTCACATGCTACCTCTGCAGACACTTACTGGGGAAATGGGAGGAAAGGCCACAGTGTGCTTAGAGAGAAAACCCTCCTTAAGGAGTGGGGCTGTGTTCTCCCTGCTCAGTATGTGGTGGGCCCCCTCCACCTCCCAGCTTCCTGACTCCATTTCTTATGGCAGCCACCTCCAACCTTTTTGACACCAGGGACTATTTTCATGGAAAACAAATTTTCCTTGGACAAGGTAGAGGAGGCAGGAGGTGGAGCTCAGACAGGTGGTGATACTGTTTGGCCAGAATCCTAAAAGGCCATGCCCAGGGGTTGAGGACCGCAGCTTACGGGAAGTGATGCCTAGATTAAGGTGACCAGATGTCCCACTTTTGGTGGGACAGTCCTGATTTTTAACAATTTGTCCCACATCCCGTGGCATTTTTAAAAAGTCCCAATTTTTGGAAAGAATGCAGGACAAGCTAGGGAACAGCAGAAGAAGGGGAAGGGAATATACAGTTTTCAGCTGCTGAAAAGGTTAATGTAACTCCATTTGGGAATGAAGTGGTTAATGTAACTACTTCGTTTGGAAATGAAAAGGCTAATGTAAACTCCCTACTCCCCTCCTGGGCAAGGTCACCCAGGTGGAATCAGTACCAAAAGGAGACTGGCTCCCTCCCTTGCTTCTAGGCAAGGACAATTAGCTCAGTTCCAAACTGTCTGGAACAAACAAGTAGTGCCCCCCCATCTAGAGTAAGGTGACCAGACATCCTGCTTTTTAATAATTTTTCTCGCGTCCTGCAGTGTTTTTTAAAAGTCTCAATTTTGGAAAGAATGCATGACAAGCTAGGGAACGTGGGAGAATAGGAAGGGAGTATATGGTTTTCGGCTGCCATGTGGCTATTTCACCAGGATATGAGTTTTATATTATTTTTGTTAATTTTATAATGTTAAATTTTAATAATAACAAATAATTGTTGAGAACTAATTATCGAGAACTGCTTATCAAAGTTTGCATTGTTGTCAGGCGCCCCATCCCCCACCCAGTCAATGGTGTCCTGCTTTACCAATGTTAAAATCTGGTCACCTTAGCCTAGATAGCAGTTTTCATTTCTGCTCCTCTGTTCCTTCTTCTCATTCCTTTGAAGCACAGTCTGCAAGAAAGAGACTATGGCATGCAAACCCTCCTACATCTTTAATATTTCAATAAACTCTTCCACCACCTTTCTGTATAATCGAAAGTTGCCCTTTCCCTTGATTGCCTGCTTTACTTGAAGTACTCTTGAATAGAGATTAATTTCCCTATTTTCCTCATTCAGCAGCCAATGGGAATATTCCAAATCTTTAAAGCTGCTGTGGACATCAAACATGCCAGCCATAACCAACAGAAGAGGCACTGGCCGAAACAGGAGCCTGGCACACAGGGACAGGGGACATTGCAGCCTACCTGCCGCGTCCTGAGCATTTGTTCTCTGCCCCTCAGCAGCTTCTCCTTGCAGGTGCACACTCCAGGGCCTGCTTGCTCTTCACCTCAATCTTTCTTCCCCCCAATCTCGAGGATGCTTTGCCACAGATGTCACTGATTTGGGCATCTACTTCCCTACTGGGACTCAGTCACCATTCCCTGTCTCCTTAGTGTCCCTGAGATGATCGTTCTCCAGGAATCCAAGGACAAACTGTTTTCTGGACCACACATTTAATTTTACTACATTCCACATGGCCATGTCCATCTGAACGTGATGAGTTTCGAGATTTCTTCTCTTAGTTAGAGAAGAGCTCTCTGCAGTATCAGATCAAATCAGAATTGTTTGCAACATCAGCAGTAAAACACCTCTCTTTCACATTACAGTGACAGACCCTGTCCAGACGAGGGCTTTCCTTCATTAGCTTATTATCTCTGGACCCTTTACTTAACTTTATGGTTTTACTGTGCATTTATAATCTATCTATAGTATTCCCACTGGATTGGTTAAAAATGCATATTCTCCAGGATTTTCAGTGGTGAAATTCTTAGCTCTCTTTTCTTTTTTCCTTGGAGACAGGGCTCCATTCTCTTCCTGAGGCTAGAGTGCCATGATGTCATCACAGCTTACTGCAACCTCACACTCCTAGGGTCAAGCAATCCTCCTGCCTCAGCTTCCCAAATAGCTGGGATAACTGGCATGAACCAGCATGTCTGGCTAATTTTGAAATGTTTTGTAGAGATAGGGTCTTGCTATTTTGTTCAGGTCTCGAATTCCTGCCCTCAAGCAATCCTCCCTCCTTGGCCTCCCAAACTGCTAGGATTACAGACACAAATCTCCAAACTGAGCCAGCTTTCTTTTTATTTTTCCTTCTTCTTCCTGAACCTGATTGTCTTTCTTCTAATCTTAGCTGCTTTTCAGACTTTCTACTTATTGTAATAGTCAATAATCAGCACTTTGAATTTCTTTTCTCCCCGAATTTCCTGTTTTCCAGTCTGAAACTGATCACCCCTACACTGTCTCCTGTTCTTAATCTTGGGCTGCCTAATATTGCCCTACAAAGTCATACATGATAACATTTCTTCCACTGTAATTAGACACTTTCTACTTACAATTGGCATTGTGTTTATGAATGATTTTCTATCAATCATGTTCACCCCCATGCCGATTTTAAATGATTTTGAGGTTTCTTCTTTAGTCCCCAAACCTCTGTCTTTGCAGGTGGCTTTGTTTCGTTTTTTCCTGAGAATGAGGCCTTCTGATGGATGCCTCTTGTGCTTCTTGGCGTACGTAATATCTGTGGGGTCTGGGTTCACAGATACTACACACTGGGTTCACGTTGGGCATTAACTGCACTAAAGTCGATGTTAAAGTTTATATGATGTAAAAGTTGTCATAGTAAGAAGCATTTCCTCTAGTTTATCATCCTTTTTAGGAAAGAAAATGTATGCCAAGATCATAGTAACACCTAATATTTGTTGAATATTTGCATGGCAGATCTACCTTAAGTGCTTAACAGACGTTATTTCCTTTGATCATGGTGTGGTCATGTAGTACCACATTGGAATGATGTAGTAACATGTGGCTCATCTTACTATCTTAAGGTTATTATGGTTAATATCTTAAATATTATTTTGGATGACCATGATTAAACTTTTAAAATACTGAAATCCAACATGCCAAATATTCTTTAACAATCTGAAAATAATATATTCAATTATAAATTTTACATTTTACTTAAATTGTTATGAGAGAAGACATCTAACAGTTTGCAACTTCAGCTACAAGGCTCTTAGGAACTTTGGTATTTTTATTCAGTGGAAAAGAAATGTGAATTGGAAACACACTAATAATTTCTGTACTGTGAATGATGCGGTTTAAATTTTTATGTTAAACTTACTTAATTTAAGATTATGTTAATTAAATATCCACTTATCAGTTTAATGATGTTTAATATAGAACCTTATTAACATACGGTTTCAAAAGCCAGTGAAATTGTCAAATCTAATGAAAACAGAGTTCAAAGATAAAATTCTATCTTCCCTTTCTTTTATGAGTCTCTTAAAAATTCAGGGCACCTTTTTAAAAAGCCCAGAGAGCAGATTAACCTTTAACACAATCATTTACATCTGATGTTATCACATTTTACAATGTCATGGATACCACTTTTAGCTTTAGATAGTTGGTTTTGCTAACCATCTTGTAAAACTGCTAAAATCTCCTTTTCCTAGATCTAATAGAGGAGGATCCCACTTCTCTCCTCTTTCTCTTTTTCTCCCTGCTGCAGTACTTTCCAATAGAACTTTCTGTGGGTATCTCTGTACCTGCACTGGTCAGGGTAGTAGTCACTAGCCTTTTGTAGCCTGCTGAGTACTTGAAATGTGTCCAATGCAACCCATGAGCTGAATTTCAAACTTTATTAATTTTAATTATCTTACATTTAAATTTAAATGGCCATTTGTTGCTGTTGGCTCCCATATTGGAAACACAACTTTGGCATTCTTTTTAATGCAGTCAGACTGAATTCTGAGAACTTGACTCTTTTCTCTTGGTAGGTCTTAATTCCTTTCTGGGAATAGGAATAATCCCCCTTTGAATGTTATTTGTTACTCTTTCACTAACTAAGGTATTTTATTTCATTGTAACCCAATTTATAATTTGTAGATTTAACCATGAACCCAAAAGAAATTACCTTTGTGGTAAGAATGCCACAAATTGGACTCCTAATTCTGTGCAGCCCCTGCACAAAGATGGTATATCTTTGATCCCTCTTAATTTGGGTCACTGTATTACTTGGTAGACCTCCTTCCTAATTGTATCTGTACTGGTCCACAAATACTATGTACCCTGAGCATTTTCTATCCGTCCTTTTAAATGCAGTCCATGATGAAAGGAATGTAGCAGAAAATAGCTTGGACTTTGAGTTGGATCCCAAATTTTCACTGTGGCTTCCTGAGCAAGTTCTTCGTTCTCTGAGCCACAGTTCTCTTGTAGAGCTGTTATTATGTTTCCTACCTTAGAGTACATTTGATTTTCTTATCTTTGTCCTAACTTGCCCCTAGAACTATTGATGACATGACTTTCTGAAACAGGATAGTACCTGCTGTCAGAGGGGGGTGTCCCATAAATGCATGCTTGTATTAAATAAAGGAAAACTATATTTTAACAAATGCCCCTCCCCACTCACTCACACCATTTCTTTTTAAAACTATACACTGAGAAAAGGAATAACTGCTGGAAGATATGGTTTCTCTGAAAGATAAAGGATTTTGCTCATTTAAAACAGATATTAGCTCATGATTTTCTCTATACTTTCTCCATTCTTAAATGATGGGGTACCATTTTTATGGATCTTTGCCTTCTAACAAGTTTTTCCATTACATTTTAAAAAATAGCCACTTGAGAATGTTTAGAAAGTTGTAAGAAATAATTTAATTTGGAACATGGTAACTTGTGTAAAGTATATTTTGTAGTACGTGTAGACGCCAACCTAGGTTGATAATACGGTCAATGAAAGTTATGTATTGTTTGAACCTAAACTGCCAAAAGAATGAACTGCAGCAGTTACGCAGTTAGAGTAAGTCAGTATCGAAACCTGTGAGTGCCCACAGATATGTGTTAAATAAAGAAATATTTTAAGTGAAGATTTTGAAAACATGATTGATAACTGGTGATCAGTCATCTTGGAGGCACTGAAGTTTTTAAATGTTTATAGGAAAATAGAGAAAGTAAAACTAAGTCACACAGTAATCAAAAGTTTCTTCTTACAAAGCATTCAACCTGCTGCCCAAGGAAAAGCTTTCATCTTTCCAGATGAAAGAATCAAAACAAAACTAGAACTCTGAAAGCTCCTGCAGAAGCATGCATTTACTTGGGCATATGGTAGTAATCCACTGAACACTTAGTTATAATCTGCTGGAGAATATCCAGAACAGATTTGCCAGGCAGAGATTCTGCCAGGTCAGCTCGCTGTTTACTATGGAAAAATAAAGTTGCATAGAATCCCATACACCAAGGTTTTCTTTTTTATTTCAAGGCCACTTGGGTACCTCTTTTAAAAAGTCTTTACCTTCATCCTTATAGATGGTTCTTCAGATGCTGAATGTCCTTAGTTTCAGTGATCAGTTTCATTATTGCTGTGCCCCCAAAAGTGTTTATTGTATTGGCAAAGATATTTGTGTGCTCCTCAATAAAATAAGTGTTTGCAACTGGATTTCAAAGGACTATAATGTGTGATTTAGTTATTGATTAAGGAGTTGAACTATAGACATTGAAGATGCAGGATCAAATCATCTGAAACAGGAGGTCAGGATTCATATGTGTCTTGAACACAGAAACACTCCAGCACTTCTCGATTGAGGACATCTGGTTTCTAGCTGTCTTTTGCATTTAAAAATACTGGAAAGAAATGGCCACACCTCAATCAAACGTACTTGCTTCAAAATGGCTATTACTGAAGAGAGAGTTTTCAGTTAACATAATTGAAATTATTTAGTTCTGCTCTGTGACAAGTGAAATCATTGTTTATAAGGGAAAGGTAATTACATATTTGGCCTAGAATTAATCAATATGAACGCAGGCAAGCTGGAGCCTGAGCAGAATCAGGACCTTGTTAAAACACAGTTTTGTAAAGTGAGGTCAATCACAGCACCTGTGGAATAAATAGACGTGATAGTGCAAGAAAATAAATTTTCTAATCATACAATTCTCAGAGAACGATAAAATGCTTTGAACAGTCCTGTATTTACAGCATAGCTTATTTACAAACGCTTTGTATTATAGGAAATTTATTTTTAAACAATGATTCAGTGTCTTTGTTGGAGGTGACATTAGATGGCCATTATAAGATTATCAAGCTAAATTTAGCAGTGTATATAGTTTTGTGAATGCAGTTTGAACGTCTAAGTGTGGTTGTCTCTCAACAGGGCCCATTTGGAGGCCAGTGCTGAGAAGTGGAACAGGTTGCTCATGTCTTTAGAAGAACTGATCAAGTGGCTGAACGTAAAAGACGAAGAGCTTAAAAAACAGATGCCCATCGGAGGAGACGTTCCAGCCCTGCAGCTCCAGTATGACCATTGTAAAGTAAGTTGACCACCTGTGGGGGTATCTTTTTGTTTGCTTGTTTTGTTTTTTTAATTTTGGTGAAGTAAATACTTGAAATCAAATTCTAGATAAATATCAAAGTTGAACTGATTATCATAAGTTACCCGCTTACCAACCTCTGTTTCTAATTGCCAGTATTTAGGCATTTTATTTAATTTCTCTTCATTACTTTAATTTGCTTCAAAGTAAGTTGTGACTCCCTATTCAAGTAGTATTTTCAAACATTACAGGTATCTAACGTATAATATTGCTTTTCATTTATCATGAAGTTTAGAATATTACTACATTATATTGGGAACTTTTCTTAACTATAACTTGACTTAATCTTAAATTTAAATGTCATAGAGTCATAAATAATTACAACATGTTTTACTAAGTGAAAGTGAAAAAACAAAGACTTGTGGTAGTAAACATAGCAAAATCTTTTTTTTTTTTTTTTTTTTTTTGCGGCGTTTTTTTTGGCCAGGGCTGGGTTTGAACTCACCACCTACGGTATATGGGGCTGGCACCCTACTCCTTTGAGCCACAGGTGCCGCCCTAAAAAATAGCAAAATCTTAAAGCAAAGACTATAGTATTTAACATCATTAAATGTCTAATTTTCTGAATTTAGCCCTTTCTTTGAATTATATTTTTATTCTGCTCAAATTTCTGTCTCTATGTAAATATGGACTTTTTTATTCTGAATAACAACCAGATATGCTGAAATGGTATCAACTGACCCATTAATTCTTTAGATTCTTGTATTATTTAAATTTTTGCCTTTTAATTGATTTATTTAATATCTCTCATGCCGATTTTTTAATATATTGGATTTTATCTAGTTTTACTGTATTCTCTGCTCTTCACTTGCAATGCAAGGTGTCATTCTAGATCCGAACATTAAAATGTGATGGTAGAATTCTATCCCCATTTAGAAAATGACAATCACTAACCCACACATCTCCTAAAGGAGCTTGTCATCTGTGTAATAAGTTGCCTTAATACAAAATGGCAAGACCTTGAAGTTTATTTTATTTTAAACCCTTGTGACTAGGTTATTAAAATTACCATTTGGGTACATTCTCTCTTTATACTTAAAGAGTATGACAGACAAATAGCTTTAAGATAAGAAAAGGGAAAATGCTATTGGTGTACGATGTGCCAAATAATAATAGAAGACTTAAAATCACTGATTTAAGTAAAACCACACTTTTTCCTTCCTTTTTTCAACTTTCCTTTCTATTAATTATTCAGAGAATATTCTCTTTTTGTGGGTTAAGGTGTTACAGATGAAAGAGAATAATACAAAGCTCTTTGGGTAGAGGTGCTTTGTAAGGAATGAAAGCTGCTTAGGACTGTGTGCTACTAGCTTTGACCCAAGCCTGAATCTTGAAACGATCTTCCTCTTCTGGCCTCATCACATAAAGTGTGTCTCAGCCTTCCCGGTCAGTCCTAGCTATTTTTTGTTTCCCATCCCAGCAAGGTTACCTGGCTTTCAGTTGGTTTTACTCTATCTTGGAACGCCCAGGCATTTAGGTAATAGAGATAATGCTGATAATGGCGCTGGTAATAACATTGGTTCATTTATTCAGCAGGTATTACTGAGTGTTTAGTATGAGCATTATTCTAGTCACTGGTGAATCAGTATTAAACAAAACCAAGTTCTTGCCTGATTCTAAGTACTACAAGTAGGACGCTGAACAAAGAGGTGATAAATATACATCATATCCCGTGGTAATGAGTGGCATGAAAAGAAAAAGCAAGGCGAGTGGGGGAGTATCTGCAGAGTTGCTACTTTATGTGGAGAAATTCAGGAAAGTAGCACAAACAGGGTGATTTTGGAGCAGAGACCCGAAATAGGTGAGCTTACTGAAGTCACCCCTCTCAGGGTGGAAACTTTATAGAAAGGGGATGGGAGGCACAATGGCCGGCCATAGAAGCGCTGAACGTTTGGGGCATATTTGAGGAGCAGCATGGGGGCCATTGTGGTTGAAGTAGTTCAGCCAAATAGAGAGAGAGACAGGAGATGAGGCGGGGAGGGGCTCAGGTCACGGAGGTTCTTGAAAGCTTTTTGTAAGGGTTTTGGCTTTTACTCAGTGAGATGGGAAGCCATGGAAGAGTTGATATCTGTAGGGCTGTGATCTGGTTTGTTGTATAACATTATAGGTTCAATGATGAGGAATGGAATATAGAGAGGAGTTCAGGAATGGGCTGCAGTAATCCAACGGGGGGGAGATGGTGACTTGGACAAAGAATAGCAGGAGAGAAGAGGAGGAGTAACTGGCTGCTGAACACATTTGCAGAGGATCAACAGGGTTTGCTGGTGTATTGGGTGTGGCCTGTGAGAGAAAAAGTCGAAGCGAGTCAGCAGCCAAAGGCTTTCAGACCAAGCAGTGGAAAATGGAAGGAGCAATTTAGGGATGAAATTGCTGGAGGAATTTGGGGGAAACTGCTGGAGGTGCAGTTTGGGCAGGAAGTCCAAGAGTTTGGTTTTTGGCATAGTAAGCTGTGGATATTAATGAGGCAGTTAGATCTATAACTCTGAAGTTAGGAGAAAGGTCAGGACTGGAGATCAAATTCTTCAATCTGTAGGATTGGACAAGTCCATGGGATTGGATGAGATCATCTAGGTGGTTATAGTTAGAAAAAGGAATTCCAAGAAATGAGCCCTTACAAAGCCCTAACTTTCGAGGTTGGGAAGATGAGGAAGACTGAGAAGGCAGAGCCCCAAAGGCAGAAGAACCAGAGAACAGAGCCTGGAGCACCACAGAGGGAAAGTGTTTTTTGAGGAAGGGCGTGATCATCAGGATCACATACTGCTGAGAGGTCGGGTAAGGTGAGGGAAATTTACCATCTAGAGACAGTCTTGTTGACCATGAACAAAAGTTGTTTCAGGAGTATGACTGAGCTGGACATGATTGGAGTGGCTTCAAAAGAGACTATGAGTAGAAAAGTATATAAACCATCTCAAGGATTTTTATAGCATAGTTTAACAGAGCATAGAGGCAGTAGCTGAAGAGGAGAATGGAGTATAACAATGGTTTTATAAAGATGGGCAATGATTTAGTATGTTCTATATATGCTAACAGGAATGATTGTATAAAGTGGGAAAAGTCAGTGATGCAGGAGAGACAGGACTTCATGGGGACACCGTGACAGTGGGATCTGGTGCTCACACTGACCAGCTGGTCTTACACAGGAGAGCAAAGGGTTCATCCGTTTAACTGGAAGGGAATGTGGACTCTGGGTACCTACAAAAGTAAGGGTGGTGGATTTGGGGGTAAGAACATGTAGACATTCTGTTTATTGCCTGTATTTTCTCTGTGTAATTAGAAGCAAGATCATCAAGTAAATATGAGAAGAAGGAAGATAATGTGGAGGGTTGAGGGGGAAGGAGGTAAAAAATGTAGTCTAGAAGTACCTAAGTTGATAACTAGGAATTTATAACAAAACTACAGAATGACAGTAAGGACTCATGTGGGGTCAATCGTCATGAATTTAAAGTAAGAACAGCCAGTGTGAATGTTTTGTTTTTTTTTTTAATCTGTGTTTAGTTGCTTTAATGAAGGCACAGAGTTAAGCAGAGAGTTGAGTTTAGCCAAACAAAGGTGATGGAGAAAGAGAGACAGGAGGGAAATAAAGGATCAGACAAGGGAGTTACAGTAGGGATGGAATGTGGGACTGACGCTGGGTGAGGCGAGGTGTGAGGACACCGGGGGGTGAGGGGCAGTGAGGCCGTGTTGGAAGTGACTCATGATCCAGTGGGACTAGCTGTGTTGGGAGCCAAGTGGGGTGTGAAGTGTGGAGAATTTGAGGGGTGGGCAGGGTCCTTAGCAGAGAGCCTATCACAGAGCTCCAGGGTAGGGGAAGGATTGTTTACATGGACAACAAAATCACTAGGAACAGGAGGGAGAAATCTAAATGGTGACTGTGAGAGTGAGGGTAATGGGGTACAGTTTGGGATTCTGACATAAAAATGAAGTTTTCACTCTCCATTTATCCTTTTCATCTTAAACCTACTCAGAATACCTTTGTCGGAGATGGGAGCAAGGAGTAGTGTGAGTTCGATGTTTACTGCTGCTTTCTGGATTTCTGGGCTCCTCACTGGTTACTGTTATTATTATTTTTTTAAATTATAATTTCCATCACTTAGCTTGTTGCTGTGATCCAGGCTGCTGTTGAGGGATGCTCTTTTGTTCTTTTTCAGTAATTTGGTCCTACCAGGAGTTTTTATTTCCTAGTCTATACTTTATTAACTTTGTGAGTTATATATTAGATGGTTTATATGAATAGCACTGATTAAATTCCTGACTTCTGAGCTCAGTTGGGTCCTATCTCATTGTAATATCCTTGCTAAAAACAATGATTGTAAAACTTTCTGTTGATTCTGGATCCCAGAATATGATACTTTATCGTGGTCTGTCATAGTCTGCCCATTAATTTTTCAAGATCCAAAAGTGTAGGCTTTTAAACTATTATTTATTGTTATAATGCTTTTAGAAACAGACTCAATTATTTATTGATTTGATTTCAGAATATTAGGGGGTACATGTGTTTTTTTTGTTTTTTTTTACAGACTTTGTTTTTTGTACAGATTGAGTCAAAATTGTAGTATTCCTTTCACCCAGATAGTGTGCTCAGAAGCTTCGTACTTAATTCTGAGAACTTTCCAGGAATAAGATACTGGGATACAGCAAAAATAAATTATGGAATAGATTTTAGAGTAATGTTTGTAGGGACGTATATAGGTTTGCTTAGGTTGCTATAGAAAAGTACTGTAGACCGGGTGACTTAAACAACAGAAATTTATTTGCTTACAATTCTGGAGGCTGGAAGTCCAAGATGGAGGTGTCGGCAGGCTTACTTCTTCCAAGTCCTCTCTACTCAGCTTGGAGATGGTTGTATTTTCTCTTTATTTCACATGGTCTTCCTTTGGTGCATATCTGTATCCCAGTTTCCTCCTCTTACAAGGACATCAGTCATATTGAATTAGAGCCAT